TCCCTTGCAGCTAGGGATGACCATCTGACACAATTCAAGCCAATAGAAAGAGGGCTGAGGGACAACATGTTTTCCTTTTCTATGTAAAATTCAATCTCCTATTGGCCATTTTTTGTTTTGTTTTTTTCTGCCTCAGGTATGTACATAATACCTGCATGTGTAGCAAATATCTTTTTAAAAAGCATATTTTTATTGAAGTATAGTTATAATGTGTGTTAGATTCTCGTATATGGCAAAGTGGTTGTTATACATGTATATAGTAGTTTGTATCTGCTAATCCCAAACTCCCAATCCATCCCTCTCCCATCTCCCACCTTGGCAAGTACCAGGCTGTTCTCTAGGTCTGTGAGCCTGTTTGTTTCACAGATAAGTTCATCTGTGTTGTATTTTAGATTCCACATATAAATACAGTATTTGTCTTTCTCTGTCTGATTTAATTCACTTAGTATGATCATCTTTGGGTCCATCCATGTTGCTGAAAATGCATTAGCTCATTCATTTTTAAGCTGATGTAACTATATATGTATATGTATATGTATATATATATGTATATGTATATACTCTTTATTCATCTGCCAATGGACATTTAAGTTGCTTCTATGTCTTGGCTGTTGTAAATGGTGCTGCAGTGAACACTGGGGTGCAGATATCTTTTTGAATTATAGTTTAGTCCAGATAGAGTAGCAATTATTTTAAGTGTAAACGGCCCAACATCAAGTTTGGCATAGCAGGAAGTTGGAAAGCGGGTGGGACTTTGAAAACTTCTCTCTAGTCCTAGAGCACCAACCTGTGGATTTCTGTGACATGTGACAAATAAAGCCCTTGCTTCTGTTGGACCATAAAGAAAGCTGAGCACTAAATAACTGATGCTTTTGAACTGTGGTGTTGGAGAAGACTGTTGAGAGTCCCTTGGACTGCAAGGAGATCCAACCAGTCCATCCTAAAGGAGATTAGTCCTGGGTGTTCATTGGAAGGACTGATGCTGAAGCTGATGCTCCAATACTTTGGCTACCTGATGCAAAGAACTGACTTATCTGAAAAGACCCTGATGTGGGGAAAGATTGAAGGAGGGAGGAGAAGGGGACAGCAGAGGATGAGATGGTTGGATGGCATCACCGACTCGATGGACGTGAGTTTGAGTAAACTCTAGGAGTTGGTGATGGACAGGGAGGCCTGGCATGCTACAGTTCATGGGGTCGCAAAGAGTCAGACACGACTGAGCAACTGAACTGAACTGAACTGCCTGATTTTCTATGCTTGGAGCCAAACTCATTAATGCTAACACATGTAGCTAGATACCATTATAAAGGATTGCCACATAATGAGTATCTTGATGTCGACAGAACTGATGTAAAGTCCAGCTGCAATAGCACAGCTATCTGTTGCCCATGTCCATCCTCACTCTTCTCTCTGGGGCCATCCCACAGAGATGAAAAAATAGATTTCATCAAATGTCCCGCCCCCTCCCTCCACTTCTCTTCCCTGTGTTCTGTTTCTCTGTGTTCCTGTCCTTATCTAATCCATTCTATCTTTCCTGTCTCTCCTCAGCAGTGCTTCTGCTATAATTCATTACTTTTGTGATACCTTCTTAAAATCGGGGGATGGAGAGAAGCTAAGCCCTGCTAGAATGATTCTAGTCACAGGGGAAAAAAAGAAGAAGAAGATATCTGGTCATTATAAGGATGCCCCCTTCCCATAACAATCTTTTTGGCAAGTCATCTTCTCTATGTGTATAGAAAAGGGTTTCCCTGGTCTCACTTCTGAGATCTTGTTCACAAGACATTTTCTTTTCAATGACTTTTAATGGGGCATCTACCATACACAAAGCCTCTGCCTGGCCCTTACAGGCATGTAGTTTCTTGTCATCCTCACAGCAAGCCAAGGAAGTAAACGTTAGAAAGACACTTGGGGACAAAGGTGCTCTCTTGAGACAAATCCACACACTGTATCTCTAGGTAGACCTTGACTAAACCTGTTAAAAATTCTTCCTCTTCTGTGTATCCCAACAGCATCTACAATTTCCACTTTACAGATTAGGAAAATGAGGCTCAGAGAGCATGATCGCCTGGCCTTGATGAGGGACGGTGAAGGATCTCTGGTTGCAAGTTGGATCTATTTCCAGTGGAAATGGAGAAGACGGGTTTCTTCTTCCACTTGGCCCTGGCTAGTGCCAACTGCTGGACACAAGCGCTCAGTTTCCCTCCTCAAAAGAGCTCCATTGGAGGGGAAGGGTGAGAAAGCAAAGTAGAGAGGACCCCCAATGATAAGAGGAGCAGGAATCCCGTGCTCAGTCCGTGCCAGGATGCCTGGCAGAAAGGCACTTTCCCTCTGCAGACATCCCCACAATGTCAAAGCGGGTAATGTGCTTCTGAACCCCATGGGAAGCTGTGAGGGTTAATTCTTGCTTAAGGTAATTTCTGAGACTTCCCTGGCCATCCAGTGGCTAAGACTCTGTGTTTCCACTGCAGGGGGCATGTGTTTCATCCCTGGTTGGGGAACTGACCAAAACATGTTCCATCCCTGGTCGGGGAACATGCCACATGGCCAAAGAAAAAGTAGGCTCTGATCCAGCACTGAAAGAGCCTCTTCTGTTCTTTTTTTTCTTCCCTCTGGTTCCTTTTTCTACAGAGATGACTCATGAAAAGAAGATGGGGCAAGATGTAGGGTGGAGGGAAAATGGAGACAGTGGCTGAGAGCAAGTCGAAAGCAGTATAGAATAGGACCAGGAGAACAGCATCATGATTCTAGAACTCACATGACCAGGAATCACTGGAAGAAGATGTTCAGATAATCCTTCCTTTCCCCAGACACTCGAAAATGCAACAGGGTTTTCTCCCAACCAACACCACCCCATCCCAAAGAAGGAAATCCAGTATTAACATTTGATAAGTGTGTTCCAGAGGTCAAGTTAGTTCAGTTCAGTCACTCAGTCTTGTCCGACTCTTTGCGACTCCATGAACTGCAGCATGCCGGCCTCCCTGTCCATCACCAACTCCCAGAGTCCACCCAAACTCATGTGCATTGAGTCGGTGATGCCATCCAACCATCTCATCCTCTGTCGTCCCCTTCTCCTCCAGCCTTCAATCTTTCCCAGCAACCGGGTCTTTTCAAATGAGTCAGCTCTTCGGATCAGGTGGCCAAAGTATTGGAGTTTCAGCTTCAGCATCCTTCATTGGAAGGACTGATGTTGGAGGTCAAGTTAAGGTGCAGTCTGGGGTCCTGTTTGTCCAGGCCTCTGACCCTTGGTACAGCTCCCACCGGGAAAAGGAAGGGAGGGCCACTCAGTCCTTGGACATTTGGGCTTAGATGAACTCCCAAAGCTGCAATATTTTTCATAAAAGCTTTCAGAAAGTTGCAGGCCTCTATGTATTGTTTTCCCTCCTTTTCTTTGTGGTGTCTGATTTTCCCTTTTCCTCTTTTTCTAATTTGAAAGAATAAGTGTGAAAACATAAGGGCAAATCCTTTTCAGGGTCAACTCAGCAATAGAGCAGGCCAAAGTCACTTCTCATGATGGAATTTAAGGAAATGAGAGACCCTGACAGACAAAGGGCTTTGAAGGCTTTTCAAATCCACACCATATAACTATTAATAGCCCTTCACTGAATTAGTAGAGAATTCATCCTTGCGTGTATATACCAATTGTATCTCTATTCACAACAGAGAGCTTGTACCTTGGGGTCTTAGATGATGAAACAAATAATCTACCCTCCTAGACACTGGTGAAATGTACACAAGATGGGGAAAAGGGAAGATGATTCCCACGCTAAATCTTCCAAGAAGAGGAAGCCCAAGGCAGAGGCAAGTTTCTCATTTGGGCGAGGAGAGTGCAGCCCAGGCTTTTCTCAGGATACTGTGTACAGTTGCTCATTCTGTGCACTGAACAAAAGGACTGGCCAAGGCCAAGGGGGTCCGGAAGCTGGCACCCCTTGCTTGCCGAAATGAGAGCCAGGGGCCCATGTCTGTCCAGAGGTGATGCCTTCTACTAATTCACGCAGAGGTGGTGTATTTTGATGTGGCCTTATTTGCCTAGCTGGGAAGAAAATATCCATGCTTCTGATTCACTGTTCACAAGCAGTTGTGACAATCAGGTGTGGCCCAGAAGAAAAGAGAATCACTTCAGTACAGCTCTTTACTTAATTGGTGGATTAAATAAATTGCTGTATCATTGATTTCTGAGCACTAAACTATCCAGAGATGTTGCTGGTGTCTATTTAATAGAAGTGCCAAAAAACACTTAATTTTTTCATATAAAACACACCTAGAAAATTGAGCAAATTTCATCAAAATGTTTTAAGTGCCAGAAATGATTCCAATCTAATCAAACATTAAGGCCTTGCATCGTCTGTACTGCACATGCGACAGACCTCCATTAACGACACAGTTGGAGCCTAGTTTCTAATTCTTTTGCACAAAATCACCAATTTAGGTTCTGCTGAGAAACCTTTGGGAAGGGTCTCTTTGTAAATCAAGCAACCAATCTCTTAGAATAAAGTTGGCCCGGAGGGGCGGCTCCTTCGAGGTCTGAGAGGCATCTTGGCTGATCAAACGCCGAGGAGGGCCTGTCCCACCAAGCTGTTGTAACAGAATCTGTTGGTGTCTGAGTGACAGCAGTGTGCAATCAAAGAGGCGACGCAGATACACATCAGACAGCAGGAACCCAGAAATAAGCCGTGGAATGGGAATATTTTGGAACCTAAATGGACCTTGGCACAAACCACTTTGAAACTGCCATTTTTGCCGAGCCTGATCATTTTTGCTTGTTGCTTGTTGGAAAGACAAAAGGACGGAAGAACCGAAGGGTAGAAAGGTCAGTCCGTGGGGGGTGCACCCTAGGCTCCAGGCACAAAGAGCTCTGCATACATCGTGGGATCTGACCCTCAGGCTCACCATATGATATAGGGTGGATTATGCCTGTTACCGATGGGAAAACTATGTCTCCAAAAGTAAAATAACCTGCTCAAGGCCACACAGCTAATAAGCGACAGAGCCAGAACGGAAATCTACAGCCAGGTCTGTGAAGCCGAGAACTTCCCACTGGCTGTGTTTCCGGGCTGCAGAAGAAATCCCGGGTCTGCGTCTCCTTCCGTCACGGCCCGGATGCCCTCCTTATCTGATGGTTTCTGAGGACGAGAGCGGAGCTGTCCTCGTGAGTGCCCTCCACCTGTCCACCTTCTCTCCCAAGAGGAGAATCCACCTTATCCAAAGCACACACTCCCGTGAAAAGCTGGGCTGGGTTTAACTAGATGGTGAAGCAGCAGCTCATTTTTCTAAGCAGCTTTTGTGAACCTGGGGCCGGAATACTGGGATAGGAAGTTCAGGAGCCTTGCTAGCCTCCCAAGGTGGGTGCTTCGAGGGGCCAGGCTATGTGGAGGGCTCCCCTGGGGGCTCAGTGGTAAAGAATCTGCCCACCAATGCAGGCGATGCGCGTTCAGCCCCTGGGCTGGGAGGACCCCCTGGAGGAGGAAACTGCTACCCACTCCAGGCTCCTTGCCTGGAGGCTCCCGTGGACAGGGGAACCTGGTGGGCTGCAGTCCACGGGCTCACAGATGAACGCACCTTAGCACCGAGTAGGTACAGCAGCGCCGGCGAGGTGGGGCCTCGTGTAACACCTGCCGTCCCCAGATGAAAGCCAGGCTCCCCCCCTGAGCAAGGGAGCAGGTTTACAAGAAAGCGAGCGCTGTTCTCCGAGGGGAGTGAACCTGAAAGATCAGTTAGAGTTCCCAGAACTCACCCCCAGAGTCTGCCCATGAACGCAGCGAGCGCAGGACTGTGAGAAACAGTGTCAACGGACTCAAAACAAAACAAGGCTCACCTGATTACGGGTTTCATTATGAACCTCGGGTTTTTTAGAGCTCGTGACATCATGTCTCTTTGAAACACGGAGAAGGGAAGAGGGGCTGGTGTCTTGATTTGATGCAATCAGGATCTTGGTGAGTTAGCAGACCTCCCATTGACATCACACAAGACCTCCCGGAGCCCTTTCACTCCAGGAGCCATCCCTGGCCCTCTCCCACTCCCAGAGTGGTTCACTACCACGCTGGATTCGTGTCATTTTCAAAGGCAGCCTTAGATCCTGCCTGAGAGCACAGTCATCGGCAGAGAATGTCGGCTGGAAGCTGCCGGCAGTCCGAAAGTCAGCTCTGAGGTCGGTCCCAGCCTCCACACACCATGGGCCCTTTGTGTTTGGGATCTGTAGGAGCCTTTCTGCTCAAAGTATGGCCCACGGATGAGGAGAACAGGCCTCAGTGGGGAGCTTGCAAGAACTGCAGACTCCTGGGACCTCCCTAGCAGTTCAATAGTTAAGATTTGATGCTTCCACTGCAGGGAGCATGGGTTTGATCCCTGGTGTGGGAACTAAGATCTCACATGCTGTGCATAGGGGAGCCAAAATTAAATAAGTAAATAAAAAGAATAGCAATTTAAAAAAAAAAAAACCTATAGAATCACCAGTCCTCTCCTAGACCTAGTGGATCAAATACTGCTTTTTTTTTTTTTTAAGCAAGATCTCCAGATGATTTGTACCGTTAAAATGTGAAAGTGCCAAACCAAAACAGAACAGCGGTTTTCCAGTGGTGTCTCCAGTTCAGTTCAGTTCAGTCGCTCAGTCGTATCTGACTCTGTGCGACCCCATGGACTGCAGCCCACCAGGCCTCCCTGTCCGTCACCAACTCCCAGAGTTTACCCAAACTCATGTCCATCGAGTCGGTGATGCCATCCAACCAGCTCATCCTCTGTCGTCCCCTTCTTCTCCCTCCTTCAGTCTTTCCCAGCATCAGGGGCTTTTCAATGAGTCAGCTCTTCACATCAGGTGGCCAAAGTACTGGTGTCTCCAGGACCAGTAACATCAGAATCACCAGCAATTTATCATAAATGCAGAGTCTCAGTTCTACCACATCCACATTTCCGTCTTAGTGAAACCTCAGGAAAAGTGGGAAGGCACTGCTCAGGGCCGGGCATGCCTGGGTTTCCTTCTTGGCATCACCACTTACAAGGTGTTTGATTTTAGACCAAGTACGTAACTCTTGGGGTTTCAGTTTCTTCAACACTAAACTTAGGCTAAGAGGTCCTTCCCTCAGGAAATCCAGAGGGGTTAAGTGAGGCCACTGTCAGAAGAGCTCTTTGCACAAGGCTAATGAATATTAAACACTTACCGAATACTTGTTTTTAGCTTTCGCTGTTCACGTCTCTACCTCTAGTCTGTCATTCTCTGCCCTAGAGATATTTCCATGAGGACTTTCTGGGTCCCTTCCAGCTTTAACACGCTCCAATTTGACAATTAGTTCATTTTTCTTAAAGTTGCTGAGGAGCCACTAAACCTAGCTCCGTAACTGTAATAGGAACAAGAGTGGATTAAGAGTTGGTTCCTCATCAGGGTCCAACTTTTTTTTCTTACTGGGTTGAATTTTGTCTCCAGTGTGAAACTGAAGCAGCAGGAGAGCAGAGACCAGAGCGCATCCCCTCAGCGTTTTCCACGGGAAAAGTTCAGACAGGAGCACAAAGCAAGACAGCCGGCATGGCCCTGTCCTTGGGGAGTCTGCTTATTGAACCAGGGAGGGCAGCAAATAGAGTTATCATTGCAATGGCCGTTGTAATAAGTATCGTGAAGTGTTGTGAATAGGACTGGAAGAGCAGGAATAGAAAGATAATCAAATCCTAGAGATGGTGAAAGTGCAGTGAGGGGTGCAAAAACTGCAGAGATGGCCTCTTGGAAAGGATGACATGCAAGCAGAGACTTGGAAAGGAAGAACAGAAGTCGATCAAGGGAAAAAGAACCCAGGCACAAGCATTGGTAAATGCGACAGGCCTGCGGCAGAAAGAGCGTGGGGATGAGACCCAGTCAGGCAGCGGGCGGGTTCCTGTGGATGCTGGGAGGGCGGGGGTGTGTGGAGCCAGATCTGGGATCCCTGGCCATTGGTTGTCGTATAATTTAGTGGGGTGGGGGCAAGACAAGGTGCCACTGAATAAGCCCACAGACAGAGGTGACTAGAGCACATCTCACTACGAACCATTCGCGCGTGAGCTCCAGGCACTGAGGAAGGCTCCAGTGATGCTTGCGGTTAAGCACACGTGCATAAATGGATGAGACATGCACAGCACAGGAACTGAGGATATAGTAGATGTGAAAGTTACAGCCCCGGAAAAGGACTTTGCCAAAGAATGCAGGGTATCGCTCCTCCAGATGCCCCTTCTCTCTCCTGCATTTAAAATTTTTCTGGAACTGCTGAGTTTTTCTATCTACATACACATTTGCTGTAATATCTTTTGTTTTTACAGCCCATGTCTCTAGTACCGTTTATAGCAAAACATTGAGCTATCAGTTCTTGCTATATTCACTTCCTGTTTTCTCATTTTCCTCTCTTAAAAAAAGTCAGAAATACTATTAATACAATAAAGAATATATATAATGTATACATAGATCATACAGCTTAATGATTAAAGTGGATACCCCATGAGTGTTCCACTCAACTCAACTATTATTAGAACTATTAGAACTTTATCAATTCCATTGAAGAGATTTGTGTTATTATTTTCCATTCCACCCACCACCTCCATGAACTGAGGCAATAATTACTGAATTTTTTTGGTTATCATTTACTTTCCTTTGCACATGGTTTTGTCACAGAAGCTTATATCCCCAAACAACATATATTTAATTTTACCTGACTTTTTATCCCTTATAAAAATGGAAAATCAACAAGTGCAAAATCAATTTCAAATGGAATTGCCAATGGCAAAATATCCAAACTTTTAGAAGAAAATACTGAGCAATACCTTTATGATTTCCAGTTAGGGAGAGATGTTTTAAATAAGACATAAAAGCGTGCATGATTAAAAGGGAAAATGGTTCCTTCCCTGTGTATGTAAAACCACCTTTCTTCCACTCCTTTCTAGATGTCACACTGCCAAGCATTTGAAGCATCAGTGATTCTTCTTTTTGAATTAAACATAACCCTAACACTGTGGAATTCCTTTAAAACACAAGTATGTTTCAGAGATTGGTAATATATTAAGCCTCTGCTATATGTGGGGACTCAGACTCTAAGACAAAAATTAGCATGCAGAAATTATATTAAGGAGGGTTCTCAATATCCACAACTGCAGGGGGAAGAGGAAGAAGCAGGGTTAGCATGGGAAGAAGGTGAGCTGTGGTGCAGTCTCGGGGGAGAACTCAGCCAGGGTCACAGGTTTTCGAAGCTGGGATGGGCTTCTAAGTTATTCTAAGCCGCAGCACAGAGGCTTTTATCCCATCATCCACCAGTATTGAATGTAGTTGACCTGGGGCAAGATGGCTGTCTTCAGCCAGGGCCGTTTCTCTAGGAGACTGACATATAGGCGATCTTTGCGGGCAGGCCTTCCAGTATCTGGGGATATACGTTCTCATCCCTGAAGGGAGTTCTGGGTGGCATATCACAATATCCGCCAAAGCCCCCCACACCTTAGACAGACTGAGGATATCTGATGTCTTCTTGAGCCTGGGAGACCTAATGACCAAAGAACATTAGGCTTGGGGATGCTAATACAAGAGCAAATTGGCCCTGAAAGCAACTTGATATGGAGACAGTTGGGAATAGAGCCTTTGCTGGGTCATGGTTATTAACTTAAGATTATGCAATGCACCAAATTTCTTTACAGCTTCAAAATGCTTTCCAGAACCCACCGTGATCCTCGATTCTTATGAGGACTGAATCACCCAACTAGCAGACTGAAGTGTGTTCTTAGAAAACCAGCCCCACAGGAGAAACCATCCTCCCACCCACCAGAAAAAGTTCACTTTGCAAACTTACCCAGAATTTTACAATCAGAAAATCTAGAAAGAAACTGTCTTTATTGCAGTGTGAACAAAAGTGTTGAATCATTTTGAAAAATAGAATTTTATACTTCGTATTACCAGGTGGGAGAGAGGCACTGAGCCAGGGAGAGTAACTTGACCTTTCTAAGACTCTGGTTCCTTAATCTCTTAATTAGAGCCATGCCTCAAATGGAAACCCTGAACGCCAGGTAAGAGGCAGCAAAAGCAGCTCAATAAGGTAGAGGCAGGCTTACAGTGGCCGTAATGGAACCCAGAGCCATCTGAACAAACAGCACTGCAATTACCAACACTCCCAGAACTCTGCTTTGC